CTTTCTGTAATACTGGTGTGAGATATCTGATAGCTTTTTTAAGAAATACACAGGAGAGAAGCCCATTTTATTAGCTTCATAGCAAGCATCTATTGCAAACAGAGGCTGTAATTTCTTGTTTCATAGGTGGATTTATTTTCTGTGGCTACTGAGTAATGTATCTCAAAGGATTAGCTAGGTGGTTTCAGAGCAAGAAATAAAACAAGTGTTTTACATAGGTGAGTTTGACTTCATAGGAACTAGAAAATTTGTGTGGGAAATCTACCTCTGTATGTTTCAACATCTATCTTTGGAGTTTTGAGCCTTCATCGCTGAGGCTCACAGGAAGGATGGTCCTTCCTGGCCAGGGCCTGTGAGGTTCCACTGAAGGGGATGGCTCAGTCTGTGCAGTTGGAGCTTTGATTGTAAATATTGTCCTGTTAGCAGCGAAATATTATTTGACAATTTCACCTTTTGACATACCAGCCTTCAAGGGAGTACTCTTAACAGAATAATACATCTAAATTTCACACTTCTGTAACATTCAGCTAAAATCTCTGTAACTATTTTAGGAAGCCATGTACCTTTGTCTCTAGGAAGTAGCACATTCAATTCTGTTGTTAAGTGCCAGTTGCTGCCATTTATTTCCAGGTTGAGAAAGTTCCCTGTGAAAGTATTCATAGTATATGCCATACCTAATTTTTGCTTTGTTAGAATGGGTACATATGATTAGATGATAGATGTAAGCAGTGGTGAATCAGCAAGAGAAGGAGCATCCATCTTGCTCTGTTTTTCATTACTCATCTTGATTTCATAAGAAGTAGTTAATGGCAAGAGAGAAACTGTGAGCACTACTGGAACTGTTAGTGGCATGAAGTTACCTAACATACTAGTAACTGACCTCCTCAACTAGTAGTATGTTAGGTAGTTCTCTCAGTTCAGGGAATAGCTAACTCTTTTGTCCCTGTTCCTCACACTGAGCACTGCTTCTATGTGCCATGCCTCCTGGCCAGCTGGCCAATTAGCTTGGTGTTCTTGGGACCTACTGACGCTTTGGTTGCATTTAGCTGGGTGACCATACTCTTAATTCTTGCTTAAGATCCTCAAAGTGAGATCTTGATATCCCATCTAAGGTCACTTCCAGTTTTGATTGTCATAATAGATGGCATTTGTATTGAACAGATTATATAATGTCTCTGTATTTGTTCTTTCTCATTCAGTGCTCTTGCATCAAACCTGTTACTAACTGCATTGATTGCTCTGATGTAGCTGCTTTGTGACCACTTTTGTTCATGATGCTTCTTGTGGTTCCCCATGGTTTGACCACTGCTCATATACAAGTTACTTTTGCGAAATTGCATCAGGTGAATGTTTAAAAGGAAAAAAACCAAAAACAAACAACTCCTTGCTATGACTGGGTACTTGTGGATATAGCAAATAGAACTTACCTTTCTTGGTGCATTAACTCCTATTTCAGAGCTTGCCTTTTTCCTTTCTTCCTGCTGCTAATAAAATGTGGTCCAGTCTGGCTGTTGGTTAAAGTTTTTTTTTACCCATATAAGATAGCAGAGAAGCCAAGACAACTAACTGTTCAGAAGTACAATGTAAGCAATGTACAATTTGGAAATGGACCAGAGCTACAGCTGAGCTTTCATATAACATTATATACCTTTGTAAGAAAAATCCTTGCAGAGAATTAGTATTCACTAAGCTATTAGAAGTAAAGTTTGCTTGTGTATTTCACCATAGTTCACTAAAATAGCACATGTACTGCATGCTTTATTATAAAATACTGAATCATTGATCCACAGAAAACAAGTTGTTAGTGATCTAGCTACTCAATAGCTGTTCACAAGTCTTCAAAATTAAGACATAGAAATTAAGGATATTTTGCCTTCTCTGCTTCATAAGATGTTGCAGTAGATTTTTTCCATGCAGTGTGTTAATCTTAATAGATCGAGTTTTGTAGCTCATGAAGCAAATAATCCAGTGTGAATGATGGAATTATTAAAGTGCAGATCAGTGATCTTATGCATTAAACTCCAGTGTTCATCACACTGTTGACCTTGCTCAGTACTCCAGAACTCAATTTAGAACCGTTTCTTTGGTACTTCTTGACAACACAAGAGCTGGTGTCAGTTGGTTTGGAAATACCAATACAAAGAATTCAGAAGATACTTGGAGTTGCCTTAAGGGGGAGGGAAGCAAAATTTAAAAGTTAAAATTTATCCCAAAAGAGTGTCTTCTATCCTTTTTTGTTTGACTCATGGGAAACTGAAATATTTAAGAGCAAAATCCTTGCTTCAGAGGAGTGGGCTGTTTAGAAATGTGAGGCTCCCCTGGTCCAAGCATGTTCTGCGAGGTTTGTTTTTCACTTACTCATTAGCTTTGCACTATGATTCAAATAAAATACCACCTGAGAGTCACTTAAGTATGTGGCTATCAGAAATACATGCTGCTCTATGAAGATCAAAATACTCCATACACTGCAGGATGAATTCCTTGGTGGAATTTGCTCTGGATTTCTTGTTTTTATTTTGTGCTGAGATACAGTGGTCTACAGACACTAGATATTGCTGTGTAGATAAACTTCAGCTTGCCTGGAATAGACGAGGGAGAATTGTAGATGTAATAGATGTAAAAAGCAAAACAAAACAAACAAAAAACCCCAAACCCTGCACGTTCAGGGTCACAAGGTGAGAGCATCTTGCAGTGTTGTAGGAGCTTGGTGCAGTCACAGGAAAAATATTTTTTCCACAGACCTAGCAAACATGAATAGTCTAATGGATATTTTAGCCAAGGCTTGAGTTAAAATATGAAGTTGTTTTGATGATAGATAGACAGACAGACATACAACTTAAATTCTGCATAAGAGAACTGATTTACTAAGCAAAAGCTTTCAGACACAGTTGGTCTTTCCCACCTGCGTGTAGAGAAAGCACAAGAGTTCTTTGTGCAGACAAGAGTAGATCGGTTTAGCTGTCACATGAGAGGAGGATAGCTGCTTCTGCTTTTTAGAGAACAAGTAGAGATTGTGAAGCCTCTACTGTTGTATTACATTGTTCATGAATTCAAGTCCAAGGGCCTCTAAAAGACTTTTTTTATATCAGTTGGGAAGTTAATCATGGTTATATGAACAAATGAAATACTGTGTCGTTCTTTCCCTGTTGGCGTGGTGTTTTCTCTCTAGTATATGAAGCATTCATGCAACTGAGATATTTCATGCACATACTTAGAGTTCATGCCATGAAATAACTACTATAAAAAATAGAGTAATTATATTTTAGCTTGCACCTATATTACTTCAGAGCTGTGCTGTTTTTATCAAATATTTCTTGTCTTTGAACAGATTTTTTTTGACTGAGGAAAAAATGTTATGGAATTAATTTGCACTACTTTTAGAATTAAGCAAGCCTGAGTGCTAAACCTCTGAAAAAGCATTCATTCTTAGGTGGATTGTGTTTCTTCTTATAAACATTTTTAAGTCCTCAATAATTAGAATCACACAGTTCAGCATATCTAAAATTAGTTATTAACAGTAGTAGTTAGCTTTAAAGAAAATATATTTTCTTTTCATCTGCTTATTACGTTACAGCACTTAACAGGAAGAATTATTTCCTGCCTCAGAATCCTTCGTTTCCTTTGTCTCTACAATGAAAGAAGAAGAAAAATAACTACTCTTCTTCTGACCTGCAAAAACTTTTCATTTTCTTTAAAGTAAAAATTTGTGATAAATGACCTTAGTAATACAGTGCTGCTGAAGATAGGAATTGTAATTTTAACATCATTTTATTGCAATGAATATTTCAGGGAATGTATTTTTAGATCATCATACAGTACATAAATGCAGTTGTGACTGTATGGTTAAATGTTTTAAAAGCTGAGATTGCATGGAAGAAAGCAGTGGTTGTTGCTAAATTATTATATAGTCTTTCTCTTTGTGATTTTATTTTTGGAATAAAATCTCATTCTTACAGTTGGCTTAATAAAGCTTGCTTATTTTTGAAGAGCTCTGGCTTCAAGAAGATGGGTGGGGATCATGTGCTGCTGCTTAAGAATGTGGTTTTCTTGGTGATTTAGCAGATAGCTCAACAGAATCAGGAAATCTTACAGACTGTTCATATTTGTTTCTCAGTGTCTAACAGTGTTTTTTGCTTTTTTGTTGTTGCCAGCAATCACAAGGAACTACTTTGCTGTAGGTGAAAAAATATAAGCCCAGATGGATTAAGTTTTCATTTTACAGAAAAGAATTTGCTGTGAATTTTGCTCTTATAGCTGACTTTAAGAGCTCTTGAGTTATTAGTCACTTGGAAAGAGCTCAGAAGGCTACTAGCCTCAATTTTGTGACTTGTGTCTAGTTTAAATATACTTTAGGCCAGGTTGGTTGGGGCAACCTGGTCTAGTGGGAAGTGTTCCTTCCCACAGTGACAAAGTCAGAACTAGATGATCTTTAAGGGTTCTTCCAACCCAGGCCATTTTATTATTCTCTGATACTTACTGTGTATTAGTTTACAAGTTCTTTCTTTGAGCAGAGTTAATATATGAAGAGGCACTCGGTACATAGTTTCATGCTTGTGCGTCTTATGATTATGGGAAATATTAATCTTTATATTAATTTTGTCAGTTATTTGAAAATGGAGATTGCAACCTTTGAATTGCCAAGGAATGCATGAACCATTGCAACACTTGTGAAACCTTTGATGAATGGCATGACATTACATAGAGGGTAATTTTTGTATTTGCTTTATATTTGCCAAGATATTAGTTTTTACGGGGTGTTCAGTCCTACAAGCAGTGGACACATTTTAAAGAAATATCCATCTAAACAGGTATTCTGCTTCAAATGTCAGAATAACATTAGTTATAACTCTTGAAAGGCTTCTTGCAGTCTGGTGGAAATAACGTCTAAGCAGCTGGATTGTAAGGACAGAAAGAATAGGGTGGCACAAAGTTTAAGAATCCTGTGGCATTATACTTTAACTGAAATTAATTGTGTTTGTGACTTTTTTTCTTTGCTGTAGTCGTGACATGGAGAATAAAGAAACCCTTAGGGGGTTGCAGAAGATGGATGACCGCCCAGAAGAGCGCATGATCAGGGAGAAACTCAAGGCAACGTGTATGCCAGCTTGGAAGCATGAATGGCTGGAAAGAAGAAGCAGGAGAGGCCCTGTGGTAAGTGGCACTGGATGGAAGGACAGTATCTGTAACTGCCATCACAAATAAAAATCACTTAAATGTCTTTCTGTTAGAAACCTTTCTGTCTTAACAATTTCTCTACTCTTAATTACGGTGCTCCTGTCCGTTTCCTACGCGGTGTTTGTAACAGGACAGCGTGGCTGACTTTCTGAGATGTCCCGCGATTGTTGCTGTTTATTTTTGAGCAGAGGCGTTCTCGCGGTGCTGCTCCGTGAGCCGCACGCACGGCTGCGGCACTGCTGCCCTCCGGCGGCAACAACCCCGGGAGCGCTGCTCGCCAGCCGAAAACCCAAACTCGGCTGTTCTTCAGGCAGCTCTCAGCTCTGCTGAAGCGTGCGTGACAGCCTTCTGTTAGCCTTGTGGGTACTGCTTTGGCGTAAATGGCTTGGAAGAGCTTTTAAGAAAATGTAGGTAGATCTAACCTGAAATATTTTAAGAGTAGTTCCAATTCTATTCAGCATAATGCTGATTAATTAATAGCTATTACCTATGAATGTAGTTGCATTGGTTGATGTGACTCCCATGTAATGGGACTCCACTAATGTAAAGTTAAGATCATCTGTTGCAGTAGGCAAGTGTTTGGAGACAGCTTTTCTGGAACAGAAATAAGAAGCTTCTGTTGGGAGAAATAACACTGAAAATACCTACAAGAGCACCAAACCCCATTACCTCGAAGGGTCAAATAACACAATTTTGACTTAAAAAATTTAAATGCTTTTGGGTTACTGAATAGCTTGAAAGTATTTACTCAGCCCACTTCCCTTGAGGTATCTGAGTGTGTTAATACAACATTTGACACTCCAGATTCTCAATTACTATAATTTGACATTTTTGATGTTTCCAAGCACAAGTAGTTTGTCCATAGGTACATGAATTTGCATTTTGATCTTCCAGCCAAGGAGAAGCATTACTGTAATTGGTAGGAGGGGAAGAAGGGTTTTCACTGCCCTTTATATTTCTCTTTTATCCTGTTCACTTTTGTAACTGGGCACTGAGTCTAGATATCTCTTCCTACTCTGAGAAGGGAAAGCTCCTTTCAGTTTTTGTCTTAAAGAGACTGCTGGAACTTTCTAGGAGAGATCTGCTCTGTTTATTTGAGGTGTTGCTTGGCACTTCCTTCCAATGTTAAGTCAGGCCTCTGAGACATTGAGAAATGTGGAACTAAAACTGCATCTTCCCAATGTGACTGTTTTTAATTTGATTCCCAGAGATGTTACTCTTCTTATGCATTATGTAGGTCTGGCTGGCAGAAAGCTGAAAGTTGTCTTGAAATATTCCAGTTCTCAGTGCCAATTTCAAGTTAAGTGTTCATGCAACAAAGCACTGTTGTGTATGTACTCCCTTTGCTTGAGCACCCCTTCTACCCACATAGTGCATGCACAGTGGTTACCTCAGACGCCAGATGTGGTGTAGCTATTTTACTTTTATGGCAGACAGAAAAAGTGAGTGGTTTTTACAAAGAGCAGCACACTTACTTTTGCTGGATTACCTCCAAGTTTGAAGTCTTTATTTTGCAACAGGGTTGTGCTAAAGAAATAGCCCTGATATTTTTCAGCTGGTACCATGTAGAATGGATGGATACAGTATTATAGCTCTTAATAAGCACAGTATCTGTAGAGAAGAAAGTTATTTTGGCTTCTACTGTCGAGGTGGGGAAACTACTATTTTTTGTGGTATATATGTAGAATTATACTTTGAGAATCAAATCATTTGCTGCCACAACTGACATAAGCTGCACAGATGGACTGGAAGAAAGGTTCTTGCTTTTGTATTGCATATAGATCAGTAAGCTAATCCCTCTTAGTAGTATGGCCTAAGGAATACTTGGATATCTGTATAATAGCTTAATTACAACAAAAGAATAATTTATTAATATGCTTTGTTTCAATGTAAAATTACCAATTAATAATTTTAACATATTGTTTAATTCCTGCAAGGTGGTGAAACCTATCCCTGGAAAAGTAGATGGATCAGAAATGAACAAACTCTCTCTAGATCCTCAAGCTGAAGGACAAAACACTGCTTCTTCACCTACACAGAAAGGAAGACGTAGTCCTTCTCCTAGCAGTTCCTCTTCATCATCTGCTAGGACAGTTAAATCTGAGTCACCAGGTGTTAGAAGAAAAAGGGTATCTCCAGTCCCTGTAAGTTTCAAGCTGTGATGTAATTTTCAATATGGGTATATTCTACAGTGTTTTGCTTATAGGGCAGTTGGTTCTCTCTCTGTAGAGCAAGATGCTGATATAAAGAAGTTATTACAGTTGAGTGATATACATACCTCATGTAGTATTGTCATGTGTGTTTTCTCTTTCCTTCAGTCCTGCTTTCATCTGTTATTGCTAGGAAGTAAATGAAGAACTATAGATACTCAATCATGAATGTATGTTCTCTTAGCTTGATTAGTGTGAAGAAGTGCTAGGAGTTTTTTTGTTGATGGGCTTTTTGTTTTGTCTTGTTTTTATTTGGTTTTTGTTGGATTTTTTGTTTGCTTTGTTGTTATTTTTGTTTATTTATAACTGTTTCTTCTGTCTGTCAGTTCTTGGGGCAGGTATATTCCATTAAGGATAGGATGCTAGAGGAGATTAAAATTTCTGTAGAAAAGTCTTACTGGGATGCTGTTGTGATCCTCTATTTCAGAGCTTATCTTTATGTACACATTAGGGAAGACTTGTGTATGTATATTGTTAGAAGTCTAAAATCACTATCACTGCATTCTAGGGAACCCCTAGAATAGAATGTTTTGTGCAACAGTAACTAGTTTCATTAAGGAAGATCAAGAGTATATTTTGAGCAATACTATCTAACATAGTAGTTTGTTGTAAAAATGTTCATCAACAGTTAAATTCACAGTACAATTAGAAGATAAATAAGATCTAATTGATTTTATTTTTCTGTTGTTCTAAACAAGTTTTTCCAGCATCAGTTAAAATACGTTTTATTTCTGAATTCCATTCTTCTGAACTAGAGACAAGTATGACAAATTACAGCACAGCAGCACTGGCCCTTTCCTCTTGACAAGAGAAATTGAAATTAAAAAAAAAATTTGCAATTAAAAAACCAAAAACAACCGTTTTTACTTGGTTGGGGTTTTTTGTTTTATATTAAATTTTCACATTAAGAACAGTAAAAAACAAATTTATATTTTACCTATATGATGGACAGCGAATTCATTATTAACTTTCATCCTAACATGAAATTCAATGCATGCAAATAAAATCAGAAGATCTGAAATGGGATCGAACCATTAATGCATCTCATAATGTTAGAAATGTGAAGAATTTAAATGAGACAATCTTCATAAAAGGTTTGGGCCACTGATTTTTGATTATGGGGAAACAATATTAAAAAACCCCAAAAGCATCCTCATCTTAAAGTTGTTTTCATGGCTGAAAAGGGAGAAAGCTGTATCTTTTCTTTTTCTTTGAAATTTTCTTAAACTTTTGATCTTTGTTGAACTTGTATTTTGTAAACTGTAGTCATAGCATTTTTTCATTTATTAAGTATACTAGCATTAGAGCCTTATAGAATAATATGCTTTATTGATTAATAAGTCTCTGTTTATCTTTGGATTGAATTACATTTGATAACTCAGTAGTAATATGGTAATGCAACAATGATGACATGAAAATAAGAAGCAATTTGAAAGACTCCTTTTTGTGTCCCAATGTCAGACAAGTTTCAGCTACAGAATTTCAATTTTCTTCTGCCCTTGAGTTTTGGGAGAAATGTAATCCTTTTAAATCATATAGCCTAAGAGATTGTAGTAGTTCCATTAGTAGTAGATTTTGGGGACTCGTACTCTGTAAATAAATAAATAAACCATACCTATTTAAACGTTTTTCTGTCCTTTGAATGCTCATGACGGAGGCACTTCTGTAGTTTCAGAGCGGACGGATAACACCACCTCGACGAGCCCCGTCTCCAGATGGCTTCTCTCCATACAGCCCTGAGGAGACAAATCGCCGTGTCAACAAAGTGATGAGAGCCAGGCTGTACTTGCTGCAGCAGATAGGACCCAACTCTTTCTTAATTGGAGGCGACAGCCCTGATAATAAATACAGAGTATTTATTGGGCCTCAGGTAGGGAACATTTTTGTCTTGTCTATAGCTTTTATCAGTTCATAGTTAATCTTGGAAAACTGTTCAAAGCCAGACTAGTTCAATTGATGATCATGGTTCTATAAAGTAATGTTTAAAAGTGTAATCTGTACTCATGTAATACCAAAATCAGTTTGTAATTTGTAAATTACATTTGCCTACAGATTCTTTCTTAAAAGAAAAAAAGACTTACTCCTAGAAGTGTCTCTGAATTACATGTCTTACATATTCTTGGCCAAAATTCAGCCCCTTAATTCCTCTAGTCACAGGATGTATATAAATGACAAACACATGACAGAATTCCCTTAAATAGTGTGATAATTTCATTAATACCATAATGAGACTTTTTTCATAGGCTTTCTTGGTACTGTGTGATGCAGTACTGGGACACATCCGGGTTGGGTAAACAGAAGCAAAAGAAGTTTGCTTGATGTCATGTTGTGGATTTATGATTATATGCATAAATTCCTTCCAGTATGAAGCTTAAAAATAGCTTCAGTTGATTTAAATAAAAAAGGGGAGGTGGGGAGAAAACAAATTGAAAACTGGTGTTGTAATTTTATGCTTTCATGTATGCATTTCTGAATAATATTTTAGGAATTCTCTTTTTTTGTAAGGCTAGGCAAGAGGACATTTATGCCTATCTATGAAATACTTTTTTTGTTTGGGGTGGGTATGTTCTCTGATACACTTAAATGTGGCAAAAAAATACCAAGTCAGTAGAACCTTAGCATATACTTTTCTTTGCAGACTTGTAGCTGTGGCCGTGGGACATTTTGTATTCATCTGCTGTTTGTTATGCTGAGGGTCTTTCAACTTGAACCCTCTGACCCAATGCTCTGGAGAAAGACGCTGAAGAACTTCGAGGTAATCAATTTCTAACAGATGTAATAACGATCTAGAAAACATTCAATAAAGTCTTTAGGACACTGTCTTAAAAATGCTGAAAACTGTTGGATTTCAAAGCAACAAGAATATATGTTTATAGTGATATCTTTAATTTAGTCTCAGGAGTTCTATAAATGGAAAAAAATACCTGCAAATGTAAGACATAACTGCCTAAATAGTAGAGAGCTGTAGTTTAGTGAGTCATTCAACTTGTGGGATTTTATATTAAAATTTATAGATCTGTCTTACTGATTTTCTAAAAGGAAGAAAAATTGTGGGTATTTTGAAGTAATCGTGTATAGTTAGGGCTGTTAGTTATTTTCAATAAGCAGATAAGTTTTTGGTGTAAAATGTTTCTTGTGATCTTTTTAGTAGTAAGACTTCTGAAATTGCTGCTGCTACTGCCTAATGCATTATTGTAAACATGAATAGATTGTTCCTGTTAGCAGTAGTTTACACTTCAGTAATGTGACTTTTAATTACAAGATATTCATAGCATAAATAAGACTGTTGCTATCTTTTTCTGATGTTAGGTTGAGAGTTTGTTCCAGAAATATCACAGTAGGCGTAGCTCAAGGATCAAAGCTCCATCTCGTAACACCATCCAGAAGTTTGTCTCACGCATGTCAAATTCTCATACATTGTCATCATCTAGTACTTCTACATCTAGTTCAGAAAACAGGTTAGTATTTTTAAAAGGAATTACAAGCTTTACTCTGTAGTTTCAGAATCACCTACATTCTTTTTGTTCAAAGCTACTTTCATTTCAAGCCACGTTAAGTCTCTGCATTTGCGAGCAATCAAGTCAAGCATACATTAGTCACTGTGGTACCAAGTGGGCGTATTTGTTTTGTAACTTCTTTTTGGAAAATGTTAAATAGAGTTGTGAAAAGATTTTTTTTGACCCTTTATTAATTTTGTGAAACAAACTTTTGAAATCTTGAGTGCAAGACTGAAGCATATATAAACTTTGGAAGCCTATTGTGTGCATTTTTTTAAATACTGCATTTGTACAAACATTAACAAAAAAATAAACATGATTTTTTTTTGTCTCCTGTCCTGCTTGTGCCTCTGACAATACACTGAAAAATATTTAGGTAAAGGCACTCTATATAAACACATACATAAATATAAAAACAGAAGCAAACATATGTTTTTAAAAGGGTGATTAAATTATTTTAAGAGAGTTATTAACACATTAGTTATGCCTTGTCTATGAATTATTGCCTTGTCTATGAATTTCAAGTGATGTGTTATTCTTCCATTATTTTTTCCCTGACTACTTCTACTTGAATTCTTCTGTACATTCTTTCCATGGTTTTGAAAAGATACTGATTAATTTTTTAAACAAATTATTTGTGCTTGCATTGTTTAATGGGTAAACTGTACATCATTTAGAGAGGTTAGACCAAAAATGGCTACCATAAATGAGGCTTTGTTTTATGTGAAGTGGAATCTAACTTAAGGAGTACTTTACTTGATATGTTACTTTGTGATAATGAGCATATAGTAAGATGAATATACTCAGACAGGTTTACAATTCTGATACACAGATTGTGACTTTCACTTCATCTTTTACTTATTTTTCCAAATTGTGTCACTGTAAATAAGTTGCATAAATAAAGTTGTTAAATGTATAGTTACTCTGGAACTACTCTTCTGGCAAGCCAGTTCCTTTTATGTTGATACTTTGTGTAGGAATTTTTTTTTCCGTAGGATTGTGAACTTTTCTGCATTAGTTATCACTTCTTTGTCTTGTTTTGTGCAAGTCTAAATATGTATGGTATAGGTATTGAGGAACACTGAGCATCAGATTCATTTGAGATAGAAGTTTACTCAGTTCTGATAATTCCTGTGACTCACAGTTATGTTTTGCTTACTGCTAATTCTTAAGAAATTAGTTTCTTATTTATACACACACACACACGTGTGTAAAATTATTTTTCATTGTAAGCTTACTTTAATGCATTTTTCCAAGGAATAAATAGCTTTGCAAACATTTGCAGAGAAATAGACGTGTATAGAAAGAATGCATGTGCAAGTTAATTTTATTTTAAAAATATATTGTTGGTGAACAAATGAATGGTGTCTGCAACTTTTTGAATCACACCAACTGTAACTTAAATTTTTTACAATGGGTAATTAGTTTTTCACATTTAAACAATATTGCAGAAGATTAAAAATGTGTGCTTTTCATTGAATGTTTAAGTTTAGAAGCAATTTTTTGGTAAATCTCTGGTTATATCCATTTAAAAATTAAAGTGGAGAAAAATAAAATAGAAACAGCGAGCAAAAAAGGAAAAATAGGAGTTTTTTTAAAATATCTGTGTGGGACATGTATGTTAGTATTCATGTGAATCTATTCCATCAGTTTCTGTTAGTGGCAGAAAATTTTTGAGTAGTTCTTTATTTTTTGAGTTTTGCTATGTTCATCGAAGAACATATGCAGTTTCTTTTAAAGAGCTAAAGACTGCCTTGTGACTCCATACTTTGAAGGAATTTGATGAAAAAGAATGTAGGTAGTTTTCAAAATACAAAAATTCCTTAGTTTTTCAAACCCAAATGATAAATTAAAAAGTTAAGGATGGTTTGTTTAAAGAAGCCTTAGGGAAGAAAATGTTAAGTGCCCAAAGCTGGGCCTTTCAATCTCTAATTGGTATCTGACCTAGTTTGAAAAGATGTCATGCGTTTTGTGACTTTCCCTTTCATTTCAACAAAGTGTTGTCTGTACACAGTGCTTCTAAAAATCTAGTTGCTTACTTACTCAGACCAAGGTTTAGGAGAATTATTCATGAATAGCCTATAGTTATCCAGAAGTGATTGTTCCGTACTGGAAGTTAATATTTTTTCACTGTTAATGCCTGTTCTGAATTCTGATATGCCTCTTCTACAATTACAAATGTCTCTCTTTATAGTATGAAGGATGAAGAAGAACAGATGTGCCCCATTTGTTTGTTAGGCATGCTGGATGAAGAGAGTCTAACTGTGTGTGAAGATGGCTGCAGGAACAAATTACACCACCACTGCATGTCAATATGTACGTTATCCTTGTTTTGTCAAGTTCTAGGGACTCTAAATCTGCAAAAGTACTATAGTTCATTATGGTTTCAGGTTTATTGCTTTATGTTCAATAAAAAAACTGGAAATCTGCTCGTAAATGATGACTGTAACTCTGAAAATTTGGTATCATTCATGTACTATTGATACACCTTATTTTATCAGTTATTCACAAATCAAGTGTGTAATTCAGTGCTCTGATAGAGAAATTACCTGCAGGTCTAGACGTTTAAGCCTCTCTTACCTGAGTGAAAAAGATTATGTCCTATTAGAACAAGGTTAGGAATGGGCTTTCAGCTCCTTGTGACTTGTCATTAGAATGCATGAAAGTCATATAATGCTAGCTAGGATTATATAATGAATTATGAAGTATGTTCATATAATACATGGAATAAAGTATATAAATATTTACAGTTTTCATTAACCAATAAGATTTTTCTATATTTGAGTACAAAAGGACCAGAACTTCAGTTCATAACTTAAAATATTAATCATAGTACTGAAGTGAAGCATTTCTTCATGCAAAAAAAAAATATTCAAGCACCTGTATTTTAATGCCCAGACTGTTGCAAGTGGTTCAGTTCAGAAGTATTATAAAACTAATGTTCTTCAGTAAAACTTAGAATAGTTATGCCATCTTATGTTTTTGTACTCTGTAAAACTTAAGTGCATATGATCCTGTTGCTGTATTCCAGGGGCAGAAGAATGCAGAAGAAACAGAGAGCCACTCATCTGTCCACTTTGTAGATCTAAGTGGAGATCTCATGATTTCTATAGGTGAGGATTCAGTTGGTTATAATAAACTATCTGTTTCTGGATATTTAATTGATATTTCTGAATATGCTGAATTATTTACCTCAGATGTTTAATTTGTCAATCTGTGTTCTTGATCTGTAGTCACGAATTGCCGAGCCCCGTGGATTCTTCTGTTCTCCGTGTGGTTCAGCAACAATCTCAGCAGCAGTCTGCAGTTGGATCACAGAGAAGAACTCAAGATAGCAATTTTAACCTTACTCATTTTGGAGTCCAGCAGATCCCTTCTACATATAAAGATTCAGCTGAGCCATGGATTCAGGTAATTCTATTTTGTAAAAGACCTAATAGCCTTTTGAGTGTAAAGGTGGATTCATCTGAACATGGGGTCACACACTTAAAAATAAGATAACTTACATTTCCTTTATTTTAGCCATTATTTTTATCTGGCATAGACAGACCTTGATTTCAGGACTGTTAATATCAATGTCTGGAAACCAGCTTCATACTTAATAAGTAAAATTCTCTTAAGAGAGTTTTTACTATCACAGAAACTTTTTTAAGACACTGTACCTTCAGACATATTTTTGCTGTCAGCCTTGGTGATTTTTAACTAGAAGTATCTTTCCTCTTTTTGATTGCTCTTGTCAGGTACTTAAGTTGGAGCATTACTCATTTTGACTCCTGTAATGTTGCTTTCTTCCTTGGCAGGTATTTGGGATGGAGCTAGTTGGCTGCTTGTTTTCTCGAAACTGGAATATACGAGAGATGGCACTTAGACGTCTTTCCCATGATGTTAGTGGTGCTCTATTACTGGCTAACGGTGAAAGTACTGGAAACTCTGGAAGCAGCAATGGAAACAACACAAGTGCTGGAGCTCTGGGAGCAGCTAGTGGGTCGTCTCAGACCACTATCTCAGGAGATGTGGTGGTGGAATCCTGCTGCAGTGTGCTGTCCATGGTCTGTGCTGACCCTGTCTACAAAGTGTATGTTGCTGCTTTAGTAAGTAATTGTTTACTTGTTGTATTCTACTAATTTCATCGTTAGTTCATATTTGAAGAGGGAGGGAATTGGAGAAGATATGTGAAATCAGGAATCCTAGTAACTGTTGAGCACCACTGATGACTTTTAACTATCCTTTGAAAGTAGGATGATCCAAATACTCATCATAAGTGAAAGGACATAATTTCACTAGCACTTGTTACAGTGCTGAGTATTGACAGTATTTGTATGTCTTTTTACTCTCAAAGAGGAATTGACTAATTCTAGCAGTGAATATGTAGTAAGCTATTCATCCTTTGAACATTTCACTGACATTTTGAACACAATTTATGTAGAACTGAATTTACAACTCTTTAATGCTTATTTATGTCTCTTTAAAAAAGTAAAAATTGTGTGGCTAGTTGTATTTCATATGTATTGTTTTTTTCCTTTCTCTTAGAAAACTTTAAGAGCCATGCTAGTGTACACTCCCTGTCATACTTTGGCAGAGAGGACTAAACTACAGCGACTTCTCAAGCCAGTTGTAGAGACAATATTAGTTAAATGTGCAGATGCTAACAGGTATGATGTCTCATGAATTTCATTTTGAATTGTTACTGAAATATCTTAAAGCTCCATTTGTTGCTATTCATGTGTAATTTAGTTGGTGTTAAAATAAAATGTGTGGATTGTAGATATGTTTCATTGTTTTGCTAGCCTAACTGCTGCTGGCAAACTTATGGCTTGAAATAGGTAGATTTTGAAGGCAAATAACTGTATACTTTGTTTTCATAAGTTTTTCATAAGTTCATAAGTTTTTCCCCCACTTAAAGGAAGATGTTAGGTGCAGTAATGAACCCATCCTTTCCATCTGTTCCTATTGCTTTGGTCTAATTCTTGTGACTCTCCTTAGAGCTATTAGCAAGTACTTCTCAGTATTCTTAATACTTCAGCAGAAATTGTTACACATCTTTGCTATGAAGTAATAGCAGCTACATAACATTTGTGATTTTCAGTTCAGAGTGTAATGGTAGGAAATGGCTATGTAGGGTGAATTGCCCTTGGTTTGAGTCTTCCTATCGTAGGCTACCCTGTTTATTCTGCCAGACCAGCCATTTCTTCTCCTGTGGTGTAAACTAGATGCAGAACTTCACCAGCTTGAGTTTTGTTTCTGGAGGTTTAGTTTCTAAGCAGCATTTTTTCTGAAACTGCAGCTAGAGATCCCACAATAGAATAGCAAGAGAATAACTAAAGTGAATAGTGAAATTATTCATAAATTAACCACAAAACTGGTTTTATGCATTTGGCCACATTTTGCAAGAGAACAAGGCAGTTTGGGGTTTTGTTTGTGTATTAGTGATAGACATTACATTTCTGGAAGTCTTCTTGTAAAAATGTCACAACCACTGGTAGCTTACAAAGAGTGGAATAAAGTGATGTGAAATAATTTTACACGTAATTGCTAGCTGATGATTTTTTAAATATAACGAATAAAACGTTTTTCCTTGAAAGCATTTGCTAAAGGAGTTCTTTCTTTTGGTTCCACTTTCTTACAGTCGAACAAGTCAACTTTCAGTCTCAACACTATTGGAGATGTGTAAAGGTCAAGCAGGCGAGCTGGCAGTTGGGAGAGAAATACTTAAATCTGGTAATAATAACTCTTCATATACAATTATAATTACAAGTAAATAATACTGGAATTTATCAAGTACAAGCATAGCAAAGAGAACAGTATTCCTCTCAACAATTTGGAAGGGGGCTAATTTGGGCAAACTATGAGTAATTCTGTATGATATAGTTCTTTGTGTAGGATGTGAACATAATACCTAATCTTCATTTTATCAACTTTTTTACAGGATCCATTGGTATTGGAGGTGTTGATTACGTCTTAAATTGTATTCTTGGAAATGAAATTGAATCTAGCAATTGGCAAGCACTGCTGGGGCGACTTTGTCTAATAGACAGACTGCTATTGGAATTTCCTGGTGAATTTTATCCCCACATTGTCTGTGGAGATGTCTTGCAGGCTGATACCGTAGTTGACAGGTACTTCTTTCTACTATGCATATGTTGCTCTTTGTAGTTGAATTTGTTGGTGGTGATTTCATAGAAGTAGTTGTTCTAATTCCTGTAAACAAATAACATATTTCTATGCAAAGTGTGCTTGCTTTACAGAGTAAATAATTGTCTTCTTAAAGACTTCTGACCTGTGAAGCATTTTTGAAGCACCAGTGCAACAATAAATCTCCTTCCTACTTCAGAAGTGACAACTAAATATATTATCTTGAAATGGTACTAGTTAACTAGAGCATGTCAGTGTATAAAAGACCTCTTTTCTTTTTTTAGGTATAAGAAACTTCTCTCCCTTTTAACTTTCGCCTTGCAGTCAATTGACAATTCCCACTCAATGGTTGGCAAACTGTCACGGAGAGTATTTTTGAGTGCAGCAAGAATGGTAGCAAGAGCACCCCATATTTTTGTAAAGCTGTTAGATATGTTGAGTATGACAAGCTCAACTCATTATGCAAGGATGCGTCGACGTCTGATGGCAATAGCAGATGAAATGGAAATTGCAGAAGCTATTCAGCTAGGCATGGAAGAAATGCACTCTGGGGAACGCCGACATGAAGACTTTTTACAGCTACCTGTGCCAGATAACTCTCCAGAAACTACAGAAAATAATACTCCTAATAATACTGTTCAGTTATCAGGGAAGAGTGGGAAAAGTTTAAGTGACAGAAAACTGAGTACCAGTCCAGACGACATTTCTGAGATGCTATCTGGCCTTGCTATGGGACTTCCTGTTTCATCAGTAACCACTGAGCAACCAAAACCAGCCATTCAAACTAAAGGAAAACCCCACAGTCAGTGTGTGAACTCTTCTCCCTCATCCAGTCATTCCCAGTCACTATTCCCAACACTTCTGTCTCCATCAAACCCATCTGTACCAGCTGGCACTGTAACAGATGTCTCTAAACTCAGACCTCAGGGATTTGTTCCCTGCAAAATCCCCTCACCTTCTCCTCAAACACAACGGAAACTTTCTCTCCAGTTTCAGCGAAACTGTTCTGAAAATAAAGAATCTGAGAAACTTTCTCCAGTTTTTACTCAAGCCAGGCCATTGCCATCCAGTCATGTACATAGGCCAAAGCCATCACGACCCACCCCAGGTGATGTGAACAAGCAAGGAGAAACCTTAAAAAGCAGTATGACACTTGACCTGAATGATATTTCACAGTGTGATGGCAATAGCAGTGCAGTTATCCCAAGTGAAGAGACAGTGTTCACGCCAGTAGATGAAAAGTGCCGGTTGGATGCTAATGCAGAGCTCAATTCCAGTATTGAGGACCTGCTTGAGGCTTCCATGCCAATGAGTGATGGCACAGTTACATTCAAGTCTGAAGTTGCAGTTCTTTCTCCTGAGCGGGCAGAAAATGATGATACTTACAAAGATGATGTAAATCATAATCAAAAATGCAAGGAAAAGATGGAAGCTGAAGAGGAAGAAGCTTTAGCTATTGCTATGGCAATGTCAGCATCCCAAGATGCCTTGCCAGTAATTCCCCAACTACAGGTCGAAAATGGTGAAGATATCATAATCATTCAGCAGGATGTAAGTATATACATATGAGAATTTAGGTTAAGTTTCAACTGAGGGTCACTGAAATTATAAAGCAGTGCTGTTATATTTTAAGTGACAGAAAACTTGAAGGTGCTTAAAACTCTTTCATAAGAAATTGAATATAAACAGTCTGCCACTTTGCAGGTGCTAAGAGAATCCTTCCACGTTATTAACAAATGCAGAGGAGATGTTTGCAAGAGAAACACTCTATCATGTATGAGCATTTAAAGTGACAAAAAAGAAAGTATGAAATTGGGGAAACTGGGAAATAAAACCAAAAATTTTAAGCAGGAGTAGAACTGTAGTGAGTCCTCATACTGATTCACTTTGAAGGCAATTGTACAAAACCAAACTGATTTTTAAAAGAAAGAATTGGAAAAGATGTTTTCCTCCTATCTTGAGAGAAGATGAGAGATACTTTATTAGTCAGAAAAAAATACATATATGCAAATAAAAAGCACAAGAAACAATAATAGAGAAAGGGATATTTTATTTGTGGTCCTTGGGGGTAACAACATGTAAAGCATAAAATAGGAGGGAAAAATTAAATAGAAGACAACTTGATTTTGGTTCTGTTTACTGTGGGTGCAAGCTAAAGCCTTAACTAGATGTAAGACAAGGAACAGAAAAGAAGTTGTGCTCCGACTTGTGTCCTCGAATCTTGCCTTTCACCATCACATAGTAACACAGAGGAAGCTCTGTTTCTTGTTACAGAGTATGTGAATTACAGAATAGTGCTCTCATCTCAACTGACACCTATATAACAAGGAGTTCAAGAAACGTAAGGGAGAGGAGAGGCGTATAAACCTGGATATTTTCTAACACTTTAGAACATCTGTATTTTAGAAGCTTATTAGTAAACTTGGAATTTATTTTGAATTTAATTTGCAGACACCAGAAACCCTGCCTGGACATACCAAAGCAAAACACCATTACAGAGAAGATGTAGAATGGCTTAAAGGTCAGCAAATTGGTCTTGGAGCTTTCTCTTCCTGTTACCAAGCTCAAGATGTGGGAACAGGGACATTAATGGCTGTAAAACAGGTAAAGACTACAGGAAAGTAACTCACTTTCTTGCTTTCTTGTGTTTGCTCTCTCAGACCTCTTGTGTTCGTGCTTTATCTATTCCTTCCTTGTCATGTCTTCTGACAAAACACATGATTTAGAAAACCTTTATGTGTGCACGGTATTAATTTAGCAGGTACAAGTTTTTTCAATTCCTCTTAGAGTGAAAAAAAGGTGGTTTTTTTTCTATGCCCATTTTCTTCCATAGTTCTTCAAGTGTGTTTTTGCTTCTGTCAGGTTCATAAAATGGTGACTGTTAGGAATATAGCCCAGACATCTTGATTCCAAATTAATGACCTATTTGCAAGATGGCTATTTAAAATAGTTTCTCCTCACTTGTCAAGAATATTTTTCCTATAACTTTAAATGGAGGAAATAGAGTTTAATATTTGTTTCCTCTGATACAACTTTGCTAACTAAATAAAGGCAATTTGGAGGCAAGTATTCTTACTATATAAATTAATAGATGCAGAACTGTGGCTGAGAAGAGGCACATGCTTCAGTTAAGATTTTTGAAGGTTTCAGGTGTGAGTAAATTGTTCACACTAGAGCTGCCCTAGGGCTGAATCAGTGGTAACAAAATAGAGGGAATTTTAGTCCCATAACTTTTACCAGTTCTACAATGAACTTATACCTTTGGAATAGATTGAATGTTTTGAAATTGCTCAAGGAAAGAATATCTTTATAATATATATTTTATATATATATATATTATATATACACACTAGATATTCTATATAATGTACTGTATATATATATATATATATATATAAAATACACCAGCTATTCCTCCTTTGAAACTTTTGCTTGTGAAAAAGTGGGACTGTTCATGTGGTCTTGGGGAGGTGATGGTGATTGTGATGCCTAGGGAAATTCCCTGCCAGGTGATCATTTATAGTTGAGGTATTAGCGCATTGGTTGGACACTATCATCTTGGAGGTCTCTTCCAGCCTAATGATTCTGTGATTCTGTGATTTTGTCATATTTAGTATGGATCAGAGCTGAGATTGGCTGCAATTCCATGACTTCTGATCTGTCAAGTTTCCCCTCAGTTGAATTTCTGTAAGAGCTTTAGTTATGAAACATTTATCATTTAACCAGTAAGATTATATAAGTGACACTCAGGATCCTATCTCATGCCTTTTCTTTCTTCCTTTTCCTCAATATCTGGAAATGAAGAGTTTCTTCCTAGTTTAAACAGAGGCAAAAAGAGGGATGTTTCCCCACTCTGTACTTGGAGAAGTTTTCGTTCATTCCCTAGAAGATCACTCTTAATTTTTTGTGACTGTCTCACATGGAGATATTTCTCAGCTGATGGGGTTGGAGGTAAAAATAGAAGTTACAGAAGGTGAAAACCATCCATTCTTGTTGCTGTACTGAAAGGTGATTACAGGACTTGTACTTAGGTTGAATACCATATTTCAAAACAGGTGACATATGTCAGGAACACATCATCTGAGCAAGAAGAGGTGGTTGAAGCACTGAGGGAAGAAATAAGGATGATGAGTCATCTGAACCATCCTAACATTATTCGAATGTTGGGTGCTACATGCGAGAAGAGTAACTATAACCTCTTTATTGAATGGATGGCAGGTAAACAACTGGTTAAAATACTATTTGGAAGTGTTGCATCGCGTGAGGTTGTGAATTTATATTTTCATTGCTTGTTGGCAACCAGTATAAAGGTCTATTTACAGAACAGCTGAAGTGGTCATAGCAATATGCCATTAGCAATGCTAATATAAGGTCATAGCAATAACCATAGCAATGGTGCATCCTTCTGTGATTGGGAATTTTCCATACCAAATCTGTCTACAGTTAAAGCACTTGGAAACCATGAAGAAAGATGACTCTTAAGTGAGAAGTTAAAAACTGTGATTTATTTCCAGCTGAAGTGACTGTCTCTCAAACTGTTGCATTTTCAGTGTATCTGTGTAGCTTGAGGTTGTTATTAAAAATAACTTTGCTGGAAAGTTTGGAATTCCTGTCATTTATTTTTGTCCCCAACTTTTTCATAAAAATTTTGTCAGGTAACATGCAGAGGCATTTAAGAACTGAAAAGTAAGTTTCAAATAATAAGTAGTAAATAGTGCTTTAGGAAAAATTAATTCAAATCTTAGATCTCTTAACTGGTAATCTAGTAAAAAAATTTGAAATCTTTTCATAGTTGTATAGAGCAGGGACAATAAAATCTCTTTATTTTGAAAAGTAGTTTTATTAATTTCATGAATGTGATTATATATTGCTGCTGTCCAGTTACAAAGTGATGCTTTATACATCCTTATTTGCTGTAAAAGAAAGCATAACACCTTAACTTATGGTCAGAGTACTAACATACAAAGCCCCCAAGTACGTGTCATTACAAGAAATAGAGCAAGATTCTCAAAATTCAGTGTTAAACTTCTTAAGTGTAATTTTTTTCTGAAATATAATAATGATAGTTAAATGTCAGGAACTGGGTTTACCTCATTCGAGCCCAGGTTGTATTACAGTACTTTCAAAGACAAATTGGAAATCCAAAATCTTGATAATCTGTTACCAGTTTTGGAAAATAGAGGAAGATACTGTTTTTCCGGGCTTGTCTGCATAGTTCTATGTATTGGATGATAACAAACATAAGATATTAAGAGGGAATGCTTGCTGGAGGTTGCACTTACCTACTGCCTCAAAAATAGTTAATGTTCTGCTGCTTACATGTCAATGTGAAGTGTGGATAAAGTGTTGTTTTTAAGGAAGTACAAAATTACTAGGAAGCATGAAGACTTTTGTCTTTAATGTGTGCAATTCCAATTAAAAAGTAATTGAGGAATGACCTACATCACTTTTTGCCCATGAAATTATTTTAATTTTTGGGGGTAGGGGAAGGAGAAATAGAAATTAGAAATACTAATATCAAGTTCCAGTTTTAGGATGCAGTGTTGCACTCTAGTAACAGAATGTGTGTTGATAGAATGTACTGTTTTATCTTTTAGGGGGTTCAGTTGCTCATTTGTTAAGTAAATATGGAGCCTTCAAAGAATCGGTTATTATTAATTACACAGAACAACTGTTACGTGGCCTTTCTTACCTCCATGAGAATCAGATAATCCATAGAGATGTTAAAGGTGAGAATTATTGATAAATTCTTCTAAGAAGGAGTATTCAGAAAGCAGCATTTGTTTTGGCCTGAGACCGTAGATACCACCAGATACCATCTCAGGAGTGGTATTTCTACTGGGTTTGTCTGATCATTTTTAAGAAACTCTATTGCTGAAGTTAATCAAATTGCTACTGAAATTAATCAGAATGTTTGTGGCAAGCTTATGGATATTTGCTATCTGTGCTAACAGTTTAGAAAAATTGTCTTTCTCAGCTGGCTAAAATAAGATAGGAAGTTGCCATACAGTTTTAAAACTACTGCTGCTTAAATTAATGTCAGTGTTTACACTGAAGTGATAGTAAAATCTGTGAACAAACCAAGGCAAAGAAGCCAGATTTCTAATGTGTGGAGATACTGTTATGAGTCTTCTTCCTTCATCCTAATTGAACATAAATACAGTTGTACCCTGAGTAACATGCAAACTTTACTGGGAAATACCAATCTTACTGAACTTTTCCCTTTAATGTCATTGTAGCTGTCCATGAACTGGATATATATATTTATATATATATATGAGTAGAACATATTGATGGTAAATACTTGTCTTTATTAATTCTTTTTGAAATAGTAAAACTTCAAATTGTTTGTAATTATCTTTAGAGCAACTCAGGGTTGCTTGATAATGAACTTTAAATTTCATGAGGAGCTGCAGGCAATGAAAGCCTCCAGGGCTTTAGGTCACCATTTTCTTCCATTATACCATCTCCAGGCATTGTTCCAGAATTCTGTATCTTTGAAAATTTGATTGCCTCTCGAAATCTCTCGGACAGCCTCAAGCTGTGTGCAGTATCATTCAGGCATAACAGGAAAGTGAGGTTATTAGACTGTATCCTTGATTTTTAGATTTCTTTGATACTGGGGTGAGGAGTGTCAAACTCTTTAATAATTTTGAAGTGCAGGAAGGAAAATGTCAAGTGTCTGTTCATCCTTTTGCCTTTAATAGAAAGCCAACTAGTAGTATTTTTATTGTGCTGTTGACAGGTGCCAATTTGCTAATTGACAGCACAGGTCATAGATTAAGAATTGCTGATTTTGGAGCTGCAGCCAGGTTGGCATCAAAAGGAACTGGTGCTGGGGAGTTTCAGGGACAGTTGTTGGGAACTATTGCGTTTATGGCACCAGAGGTAAGAAAACAATTTTTAAAGTTATTTCAAAAAATTAGTTTGAACTCTTTAAGCTAATTCATGTAGCCAAAAAACTGAAAATTGTTGTATATGCTTCAAATGTGTTTTAAATGCCTTTGTTCTAAAGATTAGGAATGATTCCAACATGGCAACAATGGCATTTCTTTCTTGCTGTCAAAGTTGTTTTAAGTAGTTTGCTACAAGATACAGTTATCACAAGTGTTGTTACTAATGCCCAAATAAACATTTGCTCAAAAGCTCGCCAGTGCAAGGTACTTTGCTTGCCACTTGGACAAGTATTTTATTTACTAGATCTCTAGACCTGTGTAAATCTTCTGGCATTATTGACATCACTGGTTACTCTCTTAGCCTGAAATGTTAATCGTAATACACTTGTTTGATGATATGTTGAGGTCTACTTCTAAATGACTTAGAGCTTAGAGACTTTGAAGCATATAATCTGATTTTTGGTATATGTTCAGGTCCTGAGAGGTCAGCAATATGGAAGGAGCTGTGATGTGTGGAGCGTTGGCTGTGTTGTCATAGAAATGGCTTGTGCTAAACCTCCTTGGAACGCAGAGAAACACTCCAATCATCTTGCTCTGATATTTAAGGTGAGGTATTTTATTATCATCAATATACTACAAAAGATGCCAAGTAATCTTGTGTATAGCAATGTGAATTTTAGAAAAGCGTGCATGTAGCAGGGGTTGTTGCAATAGCTGGTTTTTGTGTTGGAGCTGTTAGTACAGAAGCAATACTAGGACTAATATAAACATACTTTAAAAAAAAAAAAAAAAAAAAAACTGAACAAACTGATACCCAAAAAAGATACTATATACATGATATTCAAAATCATAGAATTTCAGAACAGTGTGTGTTGGAAGGGACCTTAAAGATAATCTAGTTCTACCTTCCCCACCATGTGCTGGGGCACCTTCCACTAGAGCAGGTTGCTCAGAAATGTCTGTTCTAAGATATAAAAATACAGTGTTAGAGTTGATTTTAAATTAGGCAGAGGATTGGGATTTGAACATTTTTTACCATAAACCATTTGTGTACGTATTCATATTTCACGGTGGGGAAAGTCCTTTTGTAAAAGCCTTTTGTAAAGTTCCACAAGCAGATTTTGCTGAAAGATGTTTTCCATTATGTCATGCTATGTATGATTTTTGTCCCTTCCTTTGCTAGATCATTCATCTCGGCATTCATGTTTCTTATTAAAACCTGTTATATTTAATTCTTAAAGTCCAGTTGAACTATAGGCATAAATGAAGTACTGCTGCAAGTAAATGAAGTGTTGCAGAAAACCAACATTGTATAGTAATACTCAGAGATGTTCTAAGTAAAATCACTTGTGCTAAGAGATGTCTTGGTTCTCTGTGTCTCTATGAGTCTGGTGGTGCCACTCTAGTATTCCAGTCATCCTGCTTTAATACACCTTAATAAAATGAAAATTAATTTGGCTGGGAGAGATCTGTGTCTTTCTAAGAAATATTTACCTTTGGGGTAGTAGCAGAAATACAGTAAAGGCAGTGCAAGAAAGCACACTCAGCTTAACTTGTAGTGAAACTTCACTCAGCTTAATCTCTCTCTGTGGTGAATCATGTCAGCTAGCAGTGAAGGCAGCTAGTAGACTGAAGAACGTCCGTATGTGTGCTGTAGGAGCTTTTCCTTGTGGCTCAGAGATGATCACTGCAGGATCTTGCTGTGAGAAGAACTTTTCAAGAAAAGTATCAGGAGGGGGTCAAACAAAAAAGCAATAGGTATAAGGACAATAAACTGAAAGTAGTAATGTAATCTTCAAACTGCATTAGGAAACATGCTGAATGGAGAAAAGTTCAGATATTTAACTCATCAGCTGAAATCAGTTTATAGAATGTTTTTGGGGTAGAAAGGGGGCTTAATCACTGACTTCTAAAAAGTTATTTCCCCTTGCTCAGATTGCTAGTGCAACTACTGCTCCATCAATCCCTACGCATCTGTCTCCAGGCTTGAAAGACGTGACTCTTCGGTGTTTAGAACTTCAACCTCAGGACAGACCCCCTTCAAGGGAGCTGCTGAAACACCCAGTCTTCCGTACTACATGGTAGCTACTTGTGTGTAAGGCTGAAATACTGAAGAAAATGCTACTGAATATACAATAACTGTCTTGTAGTGCAGTAAAATGCAGCACATTATATTATTCTGCTGGCCTTAATGATAGATACATCAAGAGCATAAGGCCAGTGGAGGACCCTACCTTAGTATGTGATTGACAAATCAAGATCTTTACCTAAACTCAGTATGCAATATTTGACAACTCATGCAGAGATTTGTAAACTGTGCCTTTTGAAACATCTGGCTCTATGTTAACATAAAGACATTTTTCCTTAAATCTGCATGATTACTTAGCAGGTAAGTGATTTTTATTTTATTTAGAGCACTTTTTCAGCAGTATTAGAAGCTGAGAGGCTCAAGATCTATTTTAATATAGCAATCACTGTTCAATTTCACATGTATATGCTCTGCAATTAGTAAGTTTTCAGTACTGGTTAAAAGGACATTCTGTATCTGTCCCTTTTAATTACATGATGTTCTCTGAGTAACAAATCCAAATATTGATGAAAACTTTAAAAAAAGCATTTGCCTTCCTATTAAAGTAAGAGCAGGCACTCATGGTTCACTGTGCATTTACTGCTGGCCATGTAATTTCTTTTGAAATCAAAGTTTGTTTTCTTTGTATTTTTAACTTTCATGAAAAGGGGATATTTTAAAATAGTCTTTAGAAAAAAAGATGCAAGCTGTGTCATGGAATATTTTCCTGATACAAGAGTTTTAAAACCAGATTTGCTGGAAATCTGGGATAAAATGCCACCTTCAACAAGGATATGTTGAAGGCTCTGATAGTATAGATTATTTAATAAACAAGATTGTTCTGTATAAAGCAACTTAGTCTGAACCATGCTAGAAGTTGTTGAGCCTTTTTTTTCATATAGCAGTTTCTTCTGGCAAATCGTGTAGAGAAGTTTCATGTCAAAGGCCCCCCAAACCCAGCTCCCATTTAAAGATTTTATGGGAGACTTTGGCATGTACTTCAGCGTGAGCAGGTGCCAAATGAGCAAATCTCATTCTTTGTGTAAAGAAACTGAGGTTACATTCTCTACTGATAACAAGTTTTACCTGCTGTTTTCCTTCTGCCATACATCATCTATTTACTGTAGCCATTAGTGATAATTTAATTTGAAAAATGTTAAAAATATTACCATAAGAAAGGTATTTATTTTAACAAGAAACAAACTTGGGCTTGAAGATCAAGATAAAGTAAAATGTGAAGTGAAGCTTCACCTGTAGTGCAAAACTTGTTGGTTTTTAGGAGGTGTGGGATTTTTTTTTTAAACAGGTTTTTAAAATTATTTTAAAGGCAGATTTTTAGATTCTGATGCATGTAATTCTGAAGGAAAATGGCAGCTTTTTCTTTTGCTTTTTTAAAAATGGGGATCTTTTTTAATCTAATAATGATTGTGTTTAATCCATTTTGAAAAGAAATACTGTTCATGTTATAACTCTTCAGAAGCCAGTTGGATTGTTGGACTCAAATAGAATTGGTTATTTTCAAAGACTCAGGACAAACTAAATAAGCTATAGTACCTTAAAAGTGTAAAATACAAATTGGAAGCAAGACATCTTAAAGATAAGTTTACATGAATGATAGTGCTCATACTAATAAAAGAAAAAAAAAAAAATGTCATTAGTTGTGAATGTGTTTCTTTTGGAAATTTTACATTCCTTTGTTTTTGAAGATTGGCAGACTTTGAAGAGTTAAAAAATAATACCGAAATGTGAAGTTTGGTAGCTCTGTTTTGTACTTGACTTTTTTTTTTTTTTTTTTGACCACTTTAGAATTTCTCATTCTAATAAGATTGTTTCCAAGTCTTTCTTATGTGCAAGCTTTAAAGGATGCACTCTTGCCAATTCATGTACTGGAAGATCAGTTGTCAGATTAATACTGTTTCTGGCAGAAATGTAAACTGTATAAACTGATGAACCTCAGCTAATCAGTATTACTATGTAGATCACCATACCTACCACATTTCAAACTCAAACTGCCTCTTAGGTGTCCAAATGCATTTGTTTGAGTTTGCATTTCCCTTGGCTTGCTGGTAATTGTGGTGTTTTTTAAAATGGAGATGTGATGTAATATTCTTATTTTCTTTGGATCAAAGCTGGACTGAAAATTGTATTGTGTAATTATTTTTTTTTGTGTTCTTAATGTTATTTGGTACTTAAGTTGTAAATAACGTCTACTGCTGTTTATTCCAGTTTCTACTACCTCAGGTGTCCTATAGAGTTTCTTCTACCAAAGTTCACTTTCACAATGAAATTATATTTGCTATGTGACTGATTCCTAAGACTTCCAGGGCTTAAGGGCTAACTTCTATTAGCACCTTACTGTGCAAGCAAATTTTACAGAAATCTCTGGGTTAAGAAATTTGGCTTCATTGTATCCTTTGTTATTTTAAATATATCAAGATATTTTAATTAAAAGTTTTTACCCCATTGAACCAATTTTATATAGTATAATTTGTACGTATTTTGGTGTTTTTTGTCTTCATAGTAAATAAAAGTTTTTGAACAAACTTGGTAAGACAAACTCATTCCTTTTACTGATGAAAATAAAATATTTCTGTTAGTTTACTGTTTCTACACCATTTCATACACTTGATATATCAAGAGTTAGTTTCCAATATTAAATTACACAAGTAAGTGAATATTAGTTTCCAATATTAAATTACACAAGTGAATATATGTGGCATATATATATATATCTTGGGTGAATTAATAAAGTGCTTAGATAAAGGGCAGCAACAAAGACTAATTTATTTTCTTCAGTCAATAATAAAGGAAGAAACTTCTCTTATGACAGCATTGTTATATATGAACCTCACTTGATTATCCCTTTAAGACAAGAATTGTTTAAATTTTGCATTATTGCAAATGTAGCAATTAGATACTCAGGTGGGCTGGTTAAGTCAGTTCTAGAACCATCAAAGTGTCTGCTGGAAGTTAATCTGTTGGTTTATGTTTCTGCTGAAATTATTCTGTTGCTTGATATTTTAAGAGCAAACATAAGCCTTTTCTTAATCGGGCATTCCATATATTGCAAAACTAGGGTTTGTTTCAGTTCTTGTCTTTTTCCAAATATTTTTGAAATTTGAAAAATTAATATTTTTTTATGGAAACAGATTTCAACTATAGATTTTCTTGTGACTATAAATTCTGTTTTTTGAAGGACTGCACTTTTTATTATTTTCTTCAGGCATGAGACTTTCTGCCAATAGATATATCAATTCACCAGAAAAAACTAGCAGCAGAAATCTTCAAATAAATTCCAGTATCTGGTTTCTCAAATCAGGAAAATTTACTACCTGAAATGTTAGAAAAGAAAATACATGGCAAGGATTAAGTAGGAGATAAACGGGTTATAGTGTTTTTTTATCTGATTTACTACAGAAGTTCTGAATCCTGCAGTACCGTGTTGTACGTGTGATGTTGCAGCCTCCTTTTCAGGAACAAGGGATGGCAGAGATCACTGATGCCCAGCAGATGGCAGTAAATTTCAAAGACGCCTACTTGGGGAACCAAGTATGTGCTCAGGGCATGTTCAGTTCTTCCACAGGGCAAAGCTCTTTGCCTGGTGTGACTTCTCTGGTGGGAATAAAATCACATTTCTGCATACTGGTCGTAGGTTGAAGTCTGATGGTGTTTTTTCAAGTTGTCACTCAAGGCTAAGGACTGCCTCCAGGACCTGTTAGAGTGTCACAAAGGCTCATGTATGTCGTTTCATCACATGAAAGTGGGCAGCTTGTGTGTGTGACTGTTGTGACCTGACAGCCCACCTCCCAAAGCTCTCCACTTCCCTTAGTAATTTTTCACTCATTGCTTAGTCTTCCTTAATGACCTGAATCATGCTGTGACTGCCTTACTTTTAGGAGCCACAATATGCATGTGTTGTTGTGTGGTGGACATGTGTGTTGTTTTCTGTTTATAGCACATGGCTGCGGAAACCAGAGCTGAAAGTACTGAAGTGAGATCTTTCTTCCCTGTAATTACCGAGGAAGACCAGGAGATGTCAGAGAAGCACCCTCCTGGTAGCCACTGTGGCTTTTGCTGCATTTTTCCTCATTTTTCTTCAGTTCACAATAGCCCATCGCTCAGCTCCTGTTCTTGAAAAAGATGATCAAGCCAGCAGTAGAATTGAAGTGACGATGGGCACAGCTTTTAAGTATTTGTAAAGTTCTGAGATGGGAAGTTAATTCTGATAGTTACATTGCTTTGGTGGGCCTGTCTCAAATTCCTAAACCCTTGACAAAATTTCAGGTCCAGAGGAGGCAGTGTAAGCCCTTTGACTGTTTTGAGGTGTGATTTCTCTGTTTATTCAAAAATCAATTCTCAAGTGCTTCATATATTTTTAACTGCTTTCCAAAGTAAAATACACGCATACATTTTCTTACTTTCCCAGTTCATTGGGAGTGTTAAGCTGAACTGCAGATAAGGAGTAGCATCCAAAGATAAAAGCTTTATGAAACGAAGTATCCAAGCAGGCAAAGGGCAACAGTGGCCAACGATAACAGTACCCTTATCTTTACACCTGTAGTGTTTGTAAAGAATTACTTCCGGGCCATTGCTAATTTTTGAAGACCAATTGCTAAGCAATTGTTTTCCTTACTAGATTTTTTTTTTTTTTTTAATTACCTTAGAGATAAGTGATGGTAGGATGTGGCACCAAAATGGCTTATGGCCCTGTTTGTAGATGCTCGTGATTTGTAGTATATCCCTTCAATCTTCATTAATATACTTCAATGTTGCTGCTTGATGTACATCAGTCAGTGAGGAGAAGCACCTTTAAATCTACAGAAGCTTATGATGCTACAAAGTACAACTCATGTCTCTGTTATCACAGTCAAACACTAGTTAAAAGTGTGGACAGAAGTGTAACAGGTCTCATGTTTGTAACTGAGCCACTTTTTATGACATGGATCACAACTCCGGAGGACAAGTCTTAAGAGGAGCTGCTGAGGGTTGGGGATGGTCTCAGCTTGGAGAAAGAGAAGTTCAGATGTGACCTGCCTGAAAGGAGGTTGGAGCCAGGTGCGGGTCGGCCTCTTCTCCCAGGCAATAGGACGTGAGGACGTGGCCTTCAGCTGCTGCGCAGGAGGTTCAGGTTGGTTATTAGGAGGGATTTCCTCACAGGGAGGGTGGTTAAACATTGGAATGGGCTGGCCCTGGCTGGCCTCCCCACCCAGGGAGGTATTGGAGTCACTGTCTCTGTAGATGTTTAAGGGAAGATTGAACAATGATACAGTGGTGTTTCGTCGAAGGTTGGACTCGGTCTGAGGGGTCTTTTCCGACCTAATTCGTTCTGTGACCATCTGAGGTACTAACAGTCCTTAGCATCGCTAGAAGCAGGCAGTGGATGATTTTGGAGAGGTGATCTAACAGTGTTAGGAGTAGTCTTAAATAGCCGCTTCTAGTAATTTTTAAACCACCCTTAAATCTGATGTTGTCTTTTTGGATTGTTCAGTACAACACAGAAGGTGCAGTGTAACTGTTCCGAGAGAAGTGCGCGTATTTACGTCTGTAAGTGTGCACCCAGGAGCTATGCGTTTTCATTGCCGGTGCCTGCAGTTCTGGGTATTGCGCGTCGTTACCGCGGAGCGCGAGGGCCTCACCTTCGGCCTTGGCGGCTCCCCCCTCACAGCCCGGCTGCCGCTCGGCGCCCCGCCGGCCGCTCGCAGCCAATGGCAGCCCAGAACACAAACGCGCCGGCGTGTGTCCGGAGCGCTGATTGGTTATCCCAGTTGGCGCGGGCGCGGCTCGCCGGGGTGGGTGGTGCCGGGGCCGGGAGGGAGAGGCGGCCATGCTGCGGGAGCTGCGGCGGCGCTGGGGCTCCTACAAGTACCGCTTCGTGCCCTGGCTCGCCCTCAACCT